TTTTATGTTAAAGCTTTTGTAATTCAGTATATTAATGTATAAGGCATAGTTTATCTTTGATTCTATGTATTGTTTGTCTTAGGTTGTGTTAAAATGCGTTTTGAATCAGAAAACCTCATTTTATATTCAAGATAATCGATTACCAACTAATGATAATCGATTATCAATAATCAATTATGACTTGCCATAATCGATTATAACGAGCAATTATAAGATTTTTAAGCAATTTTTTGACCGTTGTGCATTCATTGATGCATAATCGATTACCATAAGTGGATAATCGATTATTACATGCTAAATAGCTGACAACGAATTTTGGAGGAATCCTTGAGTGAAATCTTCTATAAATTAGATTTAGACTCTCATTCTAAGATACGAAATATGAAATACATTGATTTTGAAATTCGTATTTGTTGTGTACTATGATAAGTGTTCTAGGGTTTGTGTAACCCTTGTGCTGTGGCTATGAGAACTTGGTGTTGGCATAAAGCGAGAACTTTCACTGGGAGTATGATTGAGTATTGTTGTTGCTGAGTTAAAAGTTTATCATCCTTTGTGAAGATTCAAATGAGGTGTTCATCCTTCGTTAAATATTTGGAGGAGGTGTTCATCCCTTGTAGGTTTCGGGGGAATTGAGTTTCATCTCTTAGGGTAACAATAGAGGTGTTCTAACCTTAAACTGTTTTATTTTCTTTTTTATTGTAACAATTTGTTGGTTTGTGATAGTGAAGCGTTAATTCTTGGTTGAAATTAACAACTGGACGTACGATTTGTGTGATCCGGACTAGTATAACTAGTTTCACTTCTATGGATTCCAGTTCCCACCTCTTCTCTTCCATGAGGGTATTCAGTCTCTACTGGAAATGCAAGATAAGTTTTATCCTGATCTGATTAGATTGTTTTATTTTAGTCTAAAAGTTAGAAATAGAGTATACTCTACAAGAATTAAGGGAGTAAACATTATTTTGGATAATGATATTTGGAGCAGTGTGGCTCAACTCCAACTCGATGAAGATGCGATATACTTACCGGGGTAGAAGACTTTAACAACTATATAATTACTGTATTAATTTTATATTTAATAATTTCTTTGTAAGATTGTATTAAAATATATCTTTCAATAAATTAAAATAAATATCTTTATATTACTTTTCAAGTAATACGAAACTTTTAAGTAAAATCAAACATAAATTTCAAAAATAAATTTAGAGAAAAAAATAGTTAAAATTTATATTATAGTTTAAAAAAAACATAAATAACTAATGACATTGTTTATTTTTGGAGCATGAATACAATTTAATCTATTATATTTGTGGAAGAACTATTTACTTTTTTAATTATTTAACGTATAAGTACGTAGTGTTATATAATACTTGGAATTAAGAGAAATAATTTTTAACTCTAGAAAGATTAAAAACCACATGTTTTACTTATTTAAGCTTTTTAAATAATAAAAGTTAATCGTATATTTTATGGAGTGCATATTTTTTCTAAATTTTGCATACATTCATTGTATAGAATAAAAAGTTTCATTAGCAAGATTTTAACAGGAACGGTTTCAGTTATTTTTTCGAGAAAAGTCACTTAAAGTTTTCAACATATAAAAATTAAGAAAAGTTACTTAACTTTTTCCATAAAAATTCATTAAATCAATTCGCGTTTTAACAATAGTTGTGAAATGATAATTTATTATTGTTTTTAATATCTACTCTTTATATATATTTTACTAACGGAAAATAAACAATTAATTTTCTCTTTAAAAGGTCAATATAAACTAAAGTTTCTAAAAACAAACGAGAATATCATTGTTGAAAAAAATTATATCTTATAAACCGTCAAAAACAAAAAATCTAGGCAACAATAAAGTACAGTACCACAAAATCATATTCATAAATCTTAAAAGAGTGGAAGAATTCTTAGTTGCCACGACATGAGCTTCCACCATCACCACAGAAAATAGTGAAAGAAAATATGGCTAAACAAGAGAAACCTTTCTTTGCCATTCATCATCCATGGCTCTTCTTCCTTCTTCTTCTCTCATAACTCTTCTCCATATCTCATCCCAACGTTATCTTCCATCTTCCTTTCACAGCTCCATCACTCTTGCATCATCTTTCAAACCACTGACTCATTCAAAGCAGCACCTGAGCCACAGAAGCTGCAATTCCAGGCTCTTGGCTTTTTCTTACAGGTATTTCATTGAAGAAGAAGAAGATGATAATGAAGATGAAGATGATGATGAAAACCACACCTTTGATGAAGCTGTGGCTCTCTTCAATGGAGGAGAGTACTACAAATGTCATGACTATCTTGAATCCCTTTGGAACAATGCAGAAGAGCCCACCAGCACACTCATTCACGGAATACTGCAATGTGCAGTCGGTTTCTACCACCTCTTCAACCAGGTTTTCATTCATACACATAACTTTTAAATATATATATATATATACACACACACACACACACATTCATATTTGGATTATTCCTATAAAAAATCTGTTAGATTATTTTGCTAGTATTAACTTTATATCTTTTTCATTACAAATATTGGGTATAGACACTTTTTGCATGACATCTTTTTGAAATTATGCGTGGAATTTTTGTAAAGAAATTATTAAGGTATTGTCCTTCAAAGTATCTAGTTCCATAAACTCTACAAAAGCACTGGAACACTTTGTAAAGGAACACGACCTAGTTTGTTTGGTTGAGCTCTTTTAAGTAACTTATTACGACCCAAATGAATATTTTTATATGAACTATCATCTACTAGCACATACTTTTATGTATGAAATATTTATTGTGAAGAGTGTGTCCTTCTGTTGATAAGGTTATAAGATTAACATTATGTGGTTCTTCTATTAAGGACCTCAAAATCGCCTTTATTATTTGAATTCATGTTCTTCTCACAAGACTTTCAAATTAGCTTCATGTTGTAGTATCATTGCTTCTTATTGTAAATCCTCCATTTACCTCCTAAATAAACAAATTATTCTCCATGCCAACAATACTATATGGCTTCTGGTATAAACTATACATGATTTAGAAAAAGTTTTATCAGATCATGCTATAGGCGTCAAAATTGACTTGCAAAATTTTGACAGACATTTTATCCTTCACAAAAGTATTTGATTTTTCTCCTTTAAATGACAGGGAAGGGTATCTATGAAGACACTCCAATAAACTCCAATAATTAAGGATTTTCATTTTATTTGAAATGATAGTTACGTTCTATAATGATTAAGATCTTGACCCAACTTAATGATCAACCCCTCAATTAGATAATTGTTAACTACTTGAGCTATCTAATATTTTTTTATTGATATTACGGTTTTGCTTGATCATGAGTTACATTGTCTTAAAAAAGATAGTTCTTTGGTTTAATAGAACCACAGGGGAGCAATGATGGAGTTGGGGGAAGGACTATGTAAATTGAGAAAGATGGAATTCTCAAATGGACCATTCCATAAGTTTGAGAAAGATATTTCAGCAGTTCTAGATTTTATCTATCAGACTCAAATAGAGTTAGCTGCATGTGAGTGCTCTTAACCTTGGAAATCCATGCAATCTGGGTTTTTTTGGACAAATTTTTCCATTGGAGAAAAATATTAGAAGAAAAAATTACATAAATTTATCTATAAACTAAACTTAGCTAATATACAAGTTACAAAACAAAAGTTTAGAAATGTTTGATGAAAACTTGTGCAAATTAGCTTATACACAAACTTATTTTAACTTACAGAAAAGTTCATTTTATATATAGAAAAAGTCCTTGTAAAGAAACATGTCCAAACATACCTTTAAGTTGTTTCTGAAGAAATTTCAGCTTGTGTTTTCCCTTGAAATTTAAATTGAGCAGGTAGTGAGGATGTATGTGTTACAATGGATCGATCAGAAAGATCTTACCAACTTCTGGGGGAATATGCTTCAGGGAAGCGTGTGTATGATCTAGAACTTTGTAGCGATGCATCAGTGTACATTGTGTTCTGTCCTCAAGGCTCTAATGGTTCCTCTGAAGCCCCAAGGGTAAAGCTTCCTAAGCTTAAGGCTACCATGGAACATCTTGTAGCCTATGAATACAAGTGAACATCTTTTCAAGACACTGTCCATAGATCAAACCACATCCAATATTTTTCTGTCCTTCTGTTGGAAGGAAGAATTCTCTCGTGCAGTTATCATAGAATAGTATCCTGAACTGAAAATAGCAGTCACAATATGCAAAAACCTGTGCAATTATTTCAAAATTTGTGCATTTATGTAACCCCTCTTCCTATACCAGGTCTTTGATTTTGCAAACACCTAAAAATATCATATTTAAACTGCAATACACTACTGAGTGTTTTCAAAATTTTATCTTAAATAATTCAGAAGTACTTATGCAATAAAAATGTTTAGGAAATATTAAATTCAATTTAATTTTAGATTCAGTATAAAGTTGTGGAATATGCTTTCAGAAAACTCTAAAGAGATGTTTCTTTTAACATGTATCTTGGAAAACATACACTGTCTAAAAGTTTTATTTCAAGGGTAAGGGAAAAATTTAGGTGTAATTCATTAAGTAATCTTATTATTTTCGCTTAACATTCAAATTTCACCTCGATAATTATTGAACATCGTGAACAAGTCGTATAATATTATACCCAAATTTTGTTCAAAGGCAAGGGTTGACTAATGTCTGTTAATTAAGGAAACAAAGTGACAGATTTTTTATAGAAAAAAAGTACTTATCATGTCAAGAATGTAAGTCATTTAACACATGATTGTTGAAGCAATTAAAAGCATTTAACTAAGCGAATCTAATAATTAAATAACTTGAACAGTTTAGAGTACTGGTTAACAAAACCCTCAACTTAAAGTTTAAGCTTTAAACTAAAAAATCATAAAACTACCAAATAACTGTTTAATTTGAAAGCTTGAGAAGACTGGAACAGAATATAATAGTGATTCAGAGCAAGTCTAATTGACCATTAATACTGACTATATAATAAAGAACATTTAGATAAAATAATAAAAGCATGTTTCATAACTTCATTGGTTATTTATTGACTTAGGTAAACAAAACATAAAGTTCTGATGGAATTGAAGATTGATAGGAAACTCAAAGTGTGTGCAAAATGTCTTTACAAAACGCCTCAAGTAAAATTGAACTGGTTCTAAGAATGTCTGGCAGAAAATCTCAGGAACCAAAAACATCAAAGTTGAAAAGGAATCTAAACCGGAAGCATCAACCTCATACAAAATTGCTGGCAGTTCAAATAAACAGAATCACTTCCTTTTTCCTTCTATGGTCATCACGCCAATGATTGTAACAATTAACCAGCTGACAATAGTCACCATTCCCCAATTCAGTTTTATGCTCATAATTCTAGTACAACTTGGTGGAGATTGCCAGACTGCAATGAACATCTATGTTAGATTTATGAAAGAATATCACTGCACTTCCTAAATAAAATGATTGAAAAGGTAGGTAGGTAGATAGATAGAGATAGACAGACAGAAAGATAGATGTTTGAAATACAAATACATGGTGTGCACAAACATATTCCAAATGGCACACATACATGCTTGCTCACATACACACAAGAGAGGGAGAGAGAGAGACCTGGAAATCCTTGTTTCTTCCTCAGTACACAATTTTGCAATTACCCTACAGGTCTTGGGAGGTCCAATAGCGGAAATATATAAACTGCATTAAAATCTAAAGCAGATATTAAGGTAGACAAATTTCTTCTGCCAGAAAACTCTGCATGGCTCAAAAGGAATGTCATGTACACATGTGACCTTATATTTAACTCTATTGTTTTTGAAACTAAATATTAGAATATAATAAGTATACGTATATTCCAATTTAAATGATCCTTAACTCTTGCGTGTTTGGATTAAGGGACCTTGGATAATCAATGTATTAACTTTAAAGTTAATGAGCTAAGCTCTAAGGTTATCTTTGTTGCCCTACATATATAACTTTCTCAACTGGAACCCACTTCTCTCTAGCAAGAATAATCTGGAAAAGATAAATTAACAAAAAATGGATACAAGGAAATCGAGAAGGACACACCCTCCAGCATCTACTAGCCATGGCAAATTTGGTTTGATTTTTGACCAATCCAAGCTGATCACAAGTATACTGGCATCAAAAGACAAACCAAATGTTCATTAAATACATTTTGATAATTTCGTACCCTCGATACTTTCAGTTGGCAAAGGTCACTTTGGTCCTGAAATTTTAAGTAGAGAAGATAATATAAACTAGCAGGATACCTGGCTACATAAGTGGAATTTCCAAGTACAGCAAACATGAACATCAAAGGATTGAGACCCTGCAAATAGTAAGAAGCAACTATAAAATCCTACTGACACTGCTTCATGTAACTAGAAATTAATTTGTTTTAAGACTCTCATAAGAGTGATTTGGTGAAGGGAGGAGTCTTATCTTCCATATTTCCTCCCAAAGTTTTCAGGTGCTAAATGATAAACAAGACAAAGTGCATAAAGGACCACAGCTTTAATAGTTAGTGCCTAACCTCAACATGACCTCTTCTAATCTGCAAAATCAATGAGTTATGTATCAATATAAATAATCTGATTAACAAGACAAATCAATCCTTCTTAAAGTGTAGATAATTTTGAAATTTTCTATATATTACATAGCAGTTCGTCATGGAAAATACCAAAGGAATAATTTATCTCATACCTGTCTATAATATTCATATGTGAAATATTCTGTATTCATCAATTATTCTTTATAACATACTTTTCCAAGTTTACCATCCACAAGCATACTCACAAGTGATAGGATGAATGACTACTGTCCCGTAGCAGTTAAACAAAAAAATCTTATCTCAGGTAACACAAATTTTATCCGCTGAATTCCTACCTAAACTAAGGAATACAATTATATAACTTACATTTAGACAAATTTGAGGCAGTCTTCCACCCAAATATACAAATGTCATTGCCCAACCAAGGAAGGTTCCAATGCTACTGCTTCCAGAAACATCAGTTTTTAGTAACTGATCATCGCCAACCTGCAATTGCTCAAAATGAACTGATGAGAAATAGGAAAAAGTAAATTTCATCTTTTTTTTTTTCTTCCTTTTAGCATGCATAAAAGTTTGAAACGGATTACACCTTAAGAACTACTTAAAGTGAATTTTTAGTCATNTAAAAAATCTGTTAGATTATTTTGCTAGTATTAACTTTATATCTTTTTCATTACAAATATTGGGTATAGACACTTTTTGCATGACATCTTTTTGAAATTATGAGTGGAATTTTTGTAAAGAAATTATTAAGGTATTGTCCTTCAAAGTATCTAGTTCCATAAACTCTACAAAAGCACTGGAACACTTTGTAAAGGAACACGACCTAGTTTGTTTGGTTGAGCTCTTTTAAGTAACTTATTACGACCCAAATGAATATTTTTATATGAACTATCATCTACTAGCACATACTTTTATGTATGAAATATTTATTGTGAAGAGTGTGTCCTTCTGTTGATAAGGTTATAAGATTAACATTATGTGGTTCTTCTATTAAGGACCTCAAAATCGCCTTTATTATTTGAATTCATGTTCTTCTCACAAGACTTTCAAATTAGCTTCATGTTGTAGTATCATTGCTTCTTATTGTAAATCCTCCATTTACCTCCTAAATAAACAAATTATTCTCCATGCCAACAATACTATATGGCTTCTGGTATAAACTATACATGATTTAGAAAAAGTTTTATCAGATCATGCTATAGGCGTCAAAATTGACTTGCAAAATTTTGACAGACATTTTATCCTTCACAAAAGTATTTGATTTTTCTCCTTTAAATGACAGGGAAGGGTATCTATGAAGACACTCCAATAAACTCCAATAATTAAGGATTTTCATTTTATTTGAAATGATAGTTACGTTCTATAATGATTAAGATCTTGACCCAACTTAATGATCAACCCCTCAATTAGATAATTGTTAACTACTTGAGCTATCTAATATTTTTTTATTGATATTACGGTTTTGCTTGATCATGAGTTACATTGTCTTAAAAAAGATAGTTCTTTGGTTTAATAGAACCACAGGGGAGCAATGATGGAGTTGGGGGAAGGACTATGTAAATTGAGAAAGATGGAATTCTCAAATGGACCATTCCATAAGTTTGAGAAAGATATTTCAGCAGTTCTAGATTTTATCTATCAGACTCAAATAGAGTTAGCTGCATGTGAGTGCTCTTAACCTTGGAAATCCATGCAATCTGGGTTTTTTTGGACAAATTTTTCCATTGGAGAAAAATATTAGAAGAAAAAATTACATAAATTTATCTATAAACTAAACTTAGCTAATATACAAGTTACAAAACAAAAGTTTAGAAATGTTTGATGAAAACTTGTGCAAATTAGCTTATACACAAACTTATTTTAACTTACAGAAAAGTTCATTTTATATATAGAAAAAGTCCTTGTAAAGAAACATGTCCAAACATACCTTTAAGTTGTTTCTGAAGAAATTTCAGCTTGTGTTTTCCCTTGAAATTTAAATTGAGCAGGTAGTGAGGATGTATGTGTTACAATGGATCGATCAGAAAGATCTTACCAACTTCTGGGGGAATATGCTTCAGGGAAGCGTGTGTATGATCTAGAACTTAGTAGCGATGCATCAGTGTACATTGTGTTCTGTCCTCAAGGCTCTAATGGTTCCTCTGAAGCCCCAAGGGTAAAGCTTCCTAAGCTTAAGGCTACCATGGAACATCTTGTAGCCTATGAATACAAGTGAACATCTTTTCAAGACACTGTCCATAGATCAAACCACATCCAATATTTTTCTGTCCTTCTGTTGGAAGGAAGAATTCTCTCGTGCAGTTATCATAGAATAGTATCCTGAACTGAAAATAGCAGTCACAATATGCAAAAACCTGTGCAATTATTTCAAAATTTGTGCATTTATGTAACCCCTCTTCCTATACCAGGTCTTTGATTTTGCAAACACCTAAAAATATCATATTTAAACTGCAATACACTACTGAGTGTTTTCAAAATTTTATCTTAAATAATTCAGAAGTACTTATGCAATAAAAATGTTTAGGAAATATTAAATTCAATTTAATTTTAGATTCAGTATAAAGTTGTGGAATATGCTTTCAGAAAACTCTAAAGAGATGTTTCTTTTAACATGTACATCTTGGAAAACATACACTGTCCAAAAGTTTTATTTCAAGGCTAAGGGAAAAATTTAGGTGTAATTCATTAAGTAATCTTATTATTTTCGCTTAACATTCAAATTTCACCTCGATAATTATTGAACATCGTGAACAAGTCGTATAATATTATACCCAAATTTTGTTCAAAGGCAAGGGTTGACTAATGTCTGTTAATTAAGGAAACAAAGTGACAGATTTTTTATAGAAAAAAAGTACTTATCATGTCAAGAATGTAAGTCATTTAACACATGATTGTTGAAGAAATTAAAAGCATTTAACTAAGCGAATCTAATAATTAAATAACTTGAACAGTTTAGAGTACTGGTTAACAAAACCCTCAACTTAAAGTTTAAGCTTTAAACTAAAAAATCATAAAACTACCAAATAACTGTTTAATTTGAAAGCTTGAGAAGACTGGAACAGAATATAATAGTGATTCAGAGCAAGTCTAATTGACCATTAATACTGACTATATAATAAAGAACATTTAGATAAAATAATAAAAGCATGTTTCATAACTTCATTGGTTATTTATTGACTTAGGTAAACAAAACATAAAGTTCTGATGGAATTGAAGATTGATAGGAAACTCAAAGTGTGTGCAAAATGTCTTTACAAAACGCCTCAAGTAAAATTGAACTGGTTCTAAGAATGTCTGGCAGAAAATCTCAGGAACCAAAAACATCAAAGTTGAAAAGGAATCTAAACCGGAAGCATCAACCTCATACAAAATTGCTGGCAGTTC